TGTTGTAACAGCGTGCATTAGGGCCGTCGTAACAGCGTGCATTAGGGCCGTTGTAACAGCGTGCATCAGGGTTGTTGTAACAGCGTTTATTAGGGCCGTTGTAACAGCGTGCATTAGGGCCGTTGTAACAGCGTGCATCAATGTCGTCGATTACAAATTAGCAGAATTTTTACTAAAAAATTCCAAAGTCGCTCAAAGCTGGAGATGTTTTTCACTGGAGAGCAGCAATAAGTAGTATTTGTATTGATATTATTTTATTATTAAGATGTTTCTATTCTTGTTTTTGACAGGCAAAAAGTATTTTAAAAATCTGTGTTCAATATTTCTGCAAAACAAAAACATGAAAGATAAAGATGAAATAATAACTCAGTAAAAACTGACCCTCGTTTTGAAGATTTTAACTTGATAAAATGTTAATATGAAATGTAAACATTTTTAAAAGGTTTAAAAGTTGGCTTCATTTGTAATCTATAACTTTTTCTTCATTATCGAGCTTTAATATATTTGCTGGATTAAAACTGTGATCAGCATTTTTCACTATTTTCCGACATTTTCTAAACTGAATGATGAATCGATTAGTTGAGAAAACAGTCTGCATATTATTTCATAATGATAATAATAACAACAATTTGATGCGTGTTGCTTGGATTGTGATAACAGAACACAACAAGGGATTAAACCCAAGAAGAAGAATATTGATTGACAGCGAGATTCACCAATCTGTGAAAGTGACTTCAGGATGTCTTTTTGTGTCAATAAAGCTTGTTTGAACTGAGTCACTATTTAAACTGATAAAGATTGTATTTCTTCAGTGAGATGGAAACTTCAAAAGTTCTGATTCAGTTGTTTAAAGTTAGTTTTTCCTTATTTTAATAGGAATGTTTAATGGAGTCGATCCGTAAAGGTCAACAGTCGGAAGTCTAAACAATACGTTAATCTCAAGAAAGAGATTAAAATCATCAGAAAAGATTAAAGTCATAATAAATAAATAAATATCTGAAATATTACAGGAGCTGTGCTTTTGATTTGTCTTAAAACATGTTGCATTATTAATATTATTATTATTACTATTTATAGGAATACTAAAGGATTATTTATAAAATAACTCGTATTAACACTTTATAGAATACGAGCTATTTGATCACCTGTATAATAGATCAGTGAAGAGGTCAAAGGTTATGGACGATCACAGCTTTCACCTCTTCTGTGATGACATGAAGTAAACTCTGTATTAGCTGCAACAACACGACACACAAAAACAATAAATATAATTAGTGTTTTAAGTCTCGCTCTTTAATGAAGGATAACTGGATGTTAAAGGGTTAAAGTGGAAATCATCTCTGAGATGAAAGATTTTCTTCTTCTTCTGTTTACTGAAATAATCGGTTTAAACTACTTTCGGCTGCTTTTAATGAAGCTTAATATTTAAATTCTGTTTGGTTTCCAAGTCAATTTGAATGTGAAATATTTTTCTACTCACAATTATTTACATAATGTTATTAATTTATTCAATGTACAATAACTGTTTATTTTGTATTTGTTTTTAATATTATAGCATTAAAACATCCAAATAGTATTTATTTTAATTTAATAAAAGTTGTTATAGGGCTGTTCTTTATTTTGATTTATTTTATTCTATTTAATGTAAATAAATCTGACTCAACTGGACTGATAGTTTTAATATTGTTTTTCTTTTCTTATTTTTAGAGATATTTAATCACACATATTGATCCCCTGACCGCCCTCTGCCGGGTCGCGTCCCACATGTTGATACACTCTGGATCAGTTGTTTATGATTTATTTCTTATTATTTGTCTTCTTCTGAATTATACATTTCTAATCTGTAAAACACAGAAAGATGATTTTCTCTGTCAAACATTCTGAAGTATTTTATTCACGTTACTTTTTTTTATTATTATTATTTTTACTGCAGCGGCTCTGACGTCAGAACTCGGCTGCTGTTGATTCTTGCGTCACTTTTAAATGTTTCCTCGAGTGATGATAAAAACATGTTGTATTATAAATCAAACTAGAAACAATTATAATATTCATCGCGGTGGTCCAGGATCAAAAAAACTCATATTTGAGATTCACATCAACTGTTTTCCCGCGAGACCATCAGATCGGATTCTGTTGATTTATGAAAGTGGATTTTATTCTTTATGAATCAGTTTTCTGTGAGGAGCAGATTTTAATCACAATTATCAGAAGTGTTTGAAAGTCATTTAAAAGAAAAAGACAAATGTAGAATCAAGACATTTTGTTTCTTCTGTGATTTAATAAAAAGGCCGTGAAGTTAAAATCCCACGTGAGTCTCTTTGACTCAACTCTCTGTTTAATTATTATATAAACAATAAAGTCTCGAGTTAAAACATCGGAGACAATAAAGATAAATCGGTTTAAAATGAAATATGTATCTTTTCTATCCCAACAGTGTTTGACCGGATGTGATGAAGTCAATTTAACATTGTTATTGAAATACCAAACAACGACTGAGCTCGTTTAAATATCTATTAAACATTAAAAACTGTCACTGAGTTTAACATTAAAATACATCAAACAAATGTAAATATACAACTCTCTAAACCTTCAGAAGAAGAAACTCCGTCTGAAGAGCAGAAATCAACTTTAAGTTCTTTCTGTTTAGTCTCGTTTCAGTAAAGACTTTCAGATTGATTCTGAGATTTAAAAGATTTAAAAGATTTAAACCTTTACAAAGAGAAAAACACGAAACATTATAGAAAACTGTACATTTTAGACTTAAAATATGTTTTGAATTCATAACTGAGCACCACATTATCATTATAATACAAATAATGATTCTAATAATGAGAATCCCGCATGGACATTATTAGAGGAACATTAGTATTTTAGGTTATAGGTCGCTCGTGCTGCAGCCAAAAATATAACACGAGCGTTTCAGCACGAGACGAGCTGTTTCCTGTAAGATGAACAACAATAAAATATAAATCCTTATATAAGACATGAGATGATTTATTGTTTGAAATGACTCGTGCTCGGTGGGGGGGGGGTTCCTCAGTGAGTCAAATAAATCTTTCAGCAAATAAAGAAAACATGACTAAAGAAATCTAATATTAATATTGATTGTTAGAAGATTAACTGCTGATAAAACATTAAAATTCTGAATGTAAAAAAAACATTAAACGGGTATTTATTGTATATTATATCAATAATACCATCAATTAATTTATCAGACATTATTCACTCTGCAAAATGAGTTAAACTGACACAAATACTGCAGTACTACTAATACTACCACTAATACTACTAATACTAATACGTTTATATCGTCATTAGCTGATCACTATTTATACGTTTAGAGAGCTCTGTTAGTTAGATTAAATTAGAAAATGAACACTGAATATTTATAATTATTAGTATTATTATTATCAATATGAATATTATCCAGAATAAGGAAAATAAAACATTAATGACAAAAAAATACATAATAACAGTGAAGTGGAAATATATATTATATATAACTTATATTGTTGTAACGCACTCAGAGATGAGCTGATTAAAAACAATATCGATGAACAACAATAACAGAAACAATAAGAAAGTGATTCAAGCTGCTTCAATTCACAAAAAACACCAGAAGAAAACCATGAATAAATAAATACATAAGAATAAATACTGTAAAGGTGAAGCACGGAGCCCCCTCCCTCCTCCCGGCTCACCTTGGAAGCGGTGGCCCAGGTACCGGCTCCGCAGCACCCACGGGTAGAAGCTGAGCGCCTCCCGGTGCTGCTGGCTGAAGAAGCTCTGCGGGGGGATCTGCAGCGGGTGCATGTGCGTCCCGGGCTCCTGGAGCACCATGTCCGGCCCGGACGAGTATAAAGTCCTCCCGCTGCTCCCTTGGAAGCAGGAGCCAAAGACCCCGGCAGCGGGGTGCAGGGACTCCGGGAACCGGAGCGCCGTGGGCCGGATGGGCTCATCCCCGGAGCCGCCGCTGTGGCTGCTCGCCTCCTTCCCGACCAGAGACTCTATGGTGAAGCATTTCTTGCTGTTGCTGTGGTGGAACATTGTAAAGCACCTGGAGCTGCGCGGAGGAGGAAGATGTGAACAAATCGGCGTCCAGTTAGTCCAGTTCCTCGGACTCGCAGAACTCAGATTCCCAGTTTCCCCCGGAGAGCCATAACTCTCTCCAAGAGTCCCCGTGCGTAAAAAACAGAAAAATCCGGATTTTGTCGCACCTGGTGAAGCGGCGGACGTGTTCCTCTCACCTGTGTGTCCGGGGCGGTGTCTCTGAGGAGCCCGCTCTGTGCTCCGCGTGCAGGTGACACTAAAAAACCCAACAAACTCCTCTCAAAGTCTCCGGTGCAGCGCAGATCCTCGGAGCAGCAGCCGGGTTTGTACAGAGAGCCGCGGGGGATCAGTCGGTGTGTCCTCGCGCCTCCTGCCGCCGCGCGCTGGAGTCTGGAGCCGAGAGTGTCTGTCAGTCAAACGGGCTCGCGCAGAGAGAGATACCTGCCCTGCCCTCCCTGGCAGAGGTGCGCTGAGCATGCGCAGAAGCAATATTTAATTTCATAGACAGCCATTTTGTTGGTCGAGTGGATGACGATGAGGAGGAGGAGGGGGGGGGGGGGGTGATGATGATTGACAGTGATGAAGATGATGATGAGGTCATAACAAAGATGATGTCACTGATGAGGTTGTGAAGCATCATAATAAACCCTAATTACTCATCCTGTTCCTGTTAATAACATTTCACTCTAAATGAATTAATGATTCATTTGTTCTTTATTGATCGTAAATTCTTTATTTATTATTCTTATTTACATTCTTTATTTTATTTATTTATTTATATGATTTATTATTGATATATAGATGGATATAAATCATGTCTTTATGATATTTATACATTTTGTGATTTTAAAATAACTCATAAATGAACGTTTTTAAAACTTTTAACTGGATGAATTCAGTGTTAATATTTCACTTCAAGGCGTTTACAAGTGAATGGAAATCAGATTTACTGCAATAAAAGTAGAAATACGCAGTGAAAATACTCAATTTAAATACAAGTAAAAGATGTTTCTGTATTTTCTATTATATTTGATGTTTCTGATTAATATTTGAGCTGCATTAATGTTGCTTTATATCCTGTTGGCTGTTTAATCTCAAGGCTTCATATTCTATAAGTTTATAATGATGTGAATCAAAGTAAAGTTTCAACTAACAATTACTTTCAATATTATTGATTTTTCATGTCGTCTAAGAGAAAAATGTCCAAAAAATGTTTCCAAAACTCAACGAGATTCAGTTTTCTGTGAAATAAAAGAGAGAAACATCCTAAATATTATTTGTAATATTATTTAGTTTCCCTATTTTTTCTGTTTTTAGAGCTTCTTTTTAGTTGTTTTCTTCAATTTTATTTAAAACTACTCACTATGTTTGATATGTTGATGCATCTTTGTATGAATGTGTGTGTGCATGTGAAATGCTTCATCTTTTATGTTTCACTTACATTTACATTAATCACAAAGAAAATTAAACATATAATTGAATTGTTGTTTTCAGGACTTATGTGAGTGTGTTTGTGTGTGCGTGCGTACGGGCGTGTGTGTGTGTGCGTGCGTGTGTGTGTAGGTGTGTGTGTGAGTGTGTGTGTGTCTGCTGAGCGACGGGTCAATTGACACAGAACAAGACAGTTGACCCTGGGGTTAAAGGTCAGAGGAAACCTCCCTCTTGTTAATCTCAGTGGGAAGTTTACAGCTCTCGTCACCAGACAATAAAAATCATATATCATATATCATACTGGAAATATTACTAAAAATATACTTTAAAAATAAATGTATATTTTCTGCCACTTTACAATTCTACTCCATCACAAAGGTAAATGTACTGTTCACGGCAGTTTATTTATTTATTTATTTAAGCTACTTTACTGATGCAGATCGTTAAAACTAAACATAATCCACTAATAAATGATGTAATATTATATTATTATTTTATATAAACTATCAGCAGTAAAGTTATTAAACTGAGTTCCATGTTTTTATAATAATACTGTAATTAAATTTCACTTAAAGTACATTTTGATGGTAATACTACTTAAGTAAGTATTTGAATGCAGGACTTTTACTTGTAATAGAGTATTTCTACACTGTGGCATTTGTACTTCTTCCACCTCGACCCGGACAAACTGCTTCATATAGAAGACAAAAAACATTTTAAAGTCGGCTCCGTGATGAGAATACTGCAAGAAAAATGCTTTGTTTTCATTTATTGATCCATTGTTTTGATATTAAAAACATACCTGCAGTGAAATCATAGATACGATAAGATATTTATTGATCCCCAGAGGAGAAATACAGGTGTTGCAGCAGCACAAAGAAACAAGTACTGATTAACAGACTTAAAAAATAAGAATATATTAAGAGGTACGAGCACAAACTATACAAAAACATATTAATACAACATATATACCATTAATACGTTCACATGTAAACATTAATCGTCTAATCGCCATTTAAAAACAGGCCTCCTCTCGTTGCGAGTGTGCCACAGGTTGGCCAAATATCTTGGTACACATTTCGGGTATGAGTTAGGCCGTACTGCAATTATGCAGGACACTGTGAATTTAAAGAAACAGATGCAATTATCTGGTCTACGAAAGATCTAAGTCTACAACATCTGCTTTTAACCTGTAAAGTTAGTTATGTATGTTTCTTTGTGCTGTTCCTTATTGTTATGTCATATATTTTGTTTATATTGTCACTGCTATTGTTTCTGTTTTTTATCATGTAAAGTGTCTTTGAGTACCTTTTAAAGCACTATACAAATATAATGTATTATTATTATTATTATTAAAGAAAGCAAATACGCTGCTGTAACTTCTTAAAGAAAGGGGCATCTATCTTTAGTATTTGTATGAAGAGACTCATTTAATTGTAAAATACAGACATTTTGACAATTTAACCCTAATATTGACAGCCACTATCCAGGGAGCAGTTGGTGAGTCCAGTAGCTTGCTCAAGAGCACTTCTACGTTGCCCCGTTGGGGGGGGGCGGGGGTCATCTGTCTACCCAGCTACCAATCCAAGCTCTGCACTTGGTTGGTGCAGGGACTTGAACCGGCATCCCTTTGGCCCCCAACACAGCCCCCATGGACTGAGCTACTGGGACTTTTCACTGGAGACATGAAGAAGCGCAAAAAACAATATCGTCTGTCTTATTAGTATTGACCTTAAGAGCGTCGTTGTCAGTTTGTGGTCCTCACCGTCAGTCAGCAGAGACAGTAAAATGTATAAAGTCGATGCTTTTGTGACTCGTGTCTCTCCGTCTCACTGCTCCGCTGATCACAGACACCACTTGGATGTCTGATTTCGACCCATGCATCCCGGACCCGGGCCCTTCCTGTGCAGCTTTTGGACCTGGAGGACAAATGCCAGCCCATTCAGGAGCCTCTAATTGTGGCCCGGGGAAGGCTCCACAAAGCCCCCCTGCCTCAGCCTTCAATGGGCTGCCCAGCGGAGGTCCGTGTGAACCACAGAGCTTCTTCTTCCTCCCCATCCTGCCTCCTCCACATGTTAATTAATAGGCCTTACTGGCAGATTTTGGATCCCACTCGGCTTTGATTGAAGGCGGCCATTAGCATCTATTAATTTAGCCTCTGGCGTTTTATCACCAGCTTCTGAAAGAGGGAATTAAGTGGTGTGAGTTATTGTGGAGGACTCGGGGTGTGAGGCTGAGTTAAAATGTGATTATTGTCCCCGCAGCCTGGAGCCAGCTAACTGCTGCTAAGCCCTCTTGAAAGTGAAGGGGCGACTCCTCTCATTAGAGCCCAACAAGGGAAAGATATTAACAGGAAATAGCTGCAAATTTATTTATTTTTTTATTTCCCCCCCTCCTCACTTCTAATCTCTCCTCTTTATGTTCCACGTGAAAAGGGCACTTAAAAATGTAAAGGGGGAAAGAGCGGAGTGTGAGCGGGCGACGTGGCTAAACAGCCACAGTGACGATACAGTAGGCTAGTCCCGTCTGATTGGACGTCACCTCAGAGCCTTCGTTTGGCTTTTCAAACAGATTTGGATTTAATTGCTGCGAAGAGGAGGAGGAGCAGCTGCAGGAGGGTCAAGCACGGTTGCAGCTTGGCGCTGGTTCTTGTTCGTGTTCGGCATGTTGTTAACAAAGATTTAAGAAGGAAAAAAAGGTTTAAAGTCTTCAGGCTGGTCTGCAAACTGCGTGACAGATAAACAGGAAGTAACGTTTTCGATTTATGTCTTTTTACACAACACCAAAACTTCTAAAAGGTCGTGTCCGAAATCTTTTTGTGATCGCCACTGACAGCTGCAGAGATCATTTTACATATATATACAGTATATATATATATCAATACAAATGTGGTGCATTGCATTGTGGGGTTGTTAGCAGGACTGATGGACAGTGACTACAGAGTATCATAAAGTAAATGAGGAATAACCTATCAAAACCATGGTGAATGGTGGGATACGCTGAGCTCTGTGTGTAGGTGTCATAAACAAACTACAGGGCATCAACAACAAAAAACAAAAAAGAATATCAAAACACATACAGACGCTCATCAACAAGAGTTTTCTATGTTAACTTGTGCTGAAGTTTGCATGAAAAAAGCAGAACATTTGAGGAATAATTACGTCACCTTTTGTTCCTCATTTCTTAAAAAACGCTCTCAATGTTCCTGATTCCAGTTATAAAAGTTCTAATATTACGATAAAACAATAACTAACGATAGACAAATATGAACAGAACAAACGTTCCCATTCAAATTAATGTAGCAGGATGGTCAGAGCGGCGGCCATGTTTACGTGTAGCGTTGCCATTGCGAACGTTGTAGCGAGCTAACTTCTGTATAAACTTAAATGACTTAAAGCAAAAGTCACAGAATCACTGAGGTTTTACAGCAACGACTCAAACGACCAGTGGAGTCGTAACGATGAGTGACAACTTTGTTCAGCTCATTTTGAGTAGCCAGTGTAGCATTAAAGCATGGTGGAATTATATGGCTAGCTAGCTAACTAGCGGACAGCTAGCTAATTAGCTCGCTTGCTAATTCCACCATGCTTTCTTGCTACAGCAGTGGCTACTGTATATAAGAAGTGGATGTAGTTGTCTTGACGTAACATATTGATTTGTAGACGTTTTGAAGCCTCCAGTTCGGCGATTTGGCCGTCGCCATCTTGTTGTTTTTTGCAGCCAATGAACAGGAAGTGACCATATCTGGACTAAGGAGGAGTGACGTAGAGGCTGCGTATACTTCTCTTGTAGAGACCTGTCAATCACCGTGTAGCCCCGCCCTAAATCATCCCCT